CCGACCAGGTAGAAGACTTCACTCGGTCGGGTCTGATTTAACAACTGAAATTTCAAGGAAAGAGCTGGACCCGGTCGGGTCCCCTATGCCACCCGGTCGGGTCAGACTTGACCCGGAACACCAGAACGTGCCGAAGATCACCATAACGTGGAGAATATCTGATTTTGATATTTACCCGGTCGGGTATGTCCTTTGACCCGGTCGGGTACCCGGCCAAAGGTGTTGTAAAACACCTATAAATAGCCCCATTTTCCTTCACTTTTAATAATCCCTTCTTCCATACTCTTTAGCTCAGTTTAGAATAGCATTTCTTTATATTTTTCTAGCTATGTTTAGTCTCCAAATGAGGAGCTAAACTTCCATTCTTGGTGTTGCTCTTGAAGCTTGTTGATTATTAAAGTTGTGAGTTATTTTCTTAACTTCTTTCCTTGAATATTAATTAATAGTTCTTTCCTTAATACCATCTCTATATTAATGTTGGGGAGTGTTGCTAAGATGACAATTAGTTAACATCTCGACATTAGTTAGAATGGTATTTTCTTCCTCTATGTTAATATTGGGGAGTGTTGCTAAGATGACAATTAGTTATCATCTTGATATTAATTATAGTAGGATTCATCTTCTTTAATAATATTCTTCCTTGAATATTAATTAACCCCTACTCATATTTCATATTAATATTTTGAACATTACTTAAAGGATCAACTAGTTTTGTTTCATATATTAATTATTACTAGAAACGATCAACGAACCGATGGTTAATCGTTGATGGTTTCACAAGTAAGTAACTTCGGTTTATTAATGCACGGTCGTGGTTAATAAACTTAAGAGGGATTAATTTTGTTGGTTAAACCGAAACCGTTGTGTTGAGGTTATCAATCTGAATTGATTTCATCAAGGAGTTAGAAAGATTAAATGCTACTATTAAATCGGTATAAGGCGTTGTTCTATATTTGATTAATAGTAAGGGTTATTAATGAACGGTTGTTGTTAATAACTACCCTCGATGAATTGGATATACTCCCCGATTGAGTATTCGAGAGGGAATAAGTTATAGATATAACAATGATCGACTAAAATATATCAACAAGTAGAAAGTAGCAATGCCAAGTCCTTTTTATCTTTGAATTAAACACATATAGGTTGTTCATCTTAGTTCATAATTAAATTTAATCACTCAAACCAAAACACCTCTTTTTAATTACTAGTTTCATAAAAAGAGAATCATTCCTTTCCCTGTGGATACGAACTCTACTACGCTATACTACGTATAAGTGTTTAGTATTGAATTTATTTTGACGCACCGTGACAAAGTGCTCGTCAGTAACAGGAGTGGTAATCAACAGAAATAACATAATATCGACAACCATCTACGGACATATCAGATGCACTCCAGACATCTGTGTAAATAAGTTTAAGTGGGCAATGATCATGCATGAAGTTAATAAAAAATGGTAACCTGGTGCTCTTATTGATAGAAGAGAAGATACAATGAAGACCACTAACAGAAGTACATGAAATGAGTTTATTATTTTGACGCATTATTAAATTAGAAATATGACTAGCAGGATGACCTGAGTAAGCAAAGTGTTGAACAACATGAACGTGTAGCAAGATTGGCCGGACTTGGTGCATAGTAAACATCATTAAAATTCTCTCCGCGCATGAGGGACGCCCCCGTGACACGATCCTTGACAAGAAAATAGTTTGGAAAATTCAACAGAAGCATTGTTACATTCACATAATTTAGCAACATAAACAATATTTTTTAAAGATTGGGAACACATAGGATATTAGAGAGGGCTAAATGTCGGGTGTTGGTGGGTAAAGTAGTTGAACCAGTGTGAGTGATAGACAAAGCCTTACCATTCCCAAAACGGATTTCATCAGGTCCTCCAGCCATAATCAGTGTACATAGGGGAAAATGTAGTATCAATAGTGATGTGGTGAGAGACGCCACTGTCAAACAACCATGTTTGACCACTAGGAGAGCATTAACCAACGTAGTGAGTACCATGGGTTGAGTGGAATGAGCTGAATGCGGCACATTATTGTCACGTAGGAACCTTTGAAGCTTGTAGCACTCCTTTACGTCATGGCCAGAATTGTTAGAGAACCGACATATAACACCATGTGGTAGTGAACAAGGGGCATTGGGGTAGGAGCCACCTCAACCACGTCGAGTCGTCGAGCGTGATTTGGACTGCGGCAATGCATATTACGACGATCCCCATGCATGTAGTTGACTGAGAGAGTGGGAGATGACATGTGAATGTTATTGAGAGTTGGAACAAGAGTGGTCGCTGCATGGGCTATTTCTTGAAGTTTGTCCTCACGTTCCAAGATTATATCCTGCAATTCGGTCAAAGGCTAGCAGATGTGTGAACACGCACGTATGGCCGCCAATAAGTCACCATATTTAGGACCCAGGCCATTTAAAATATTAATCACCAGATCTTCATCAGAAACAAGGTTTTGTGCCAAAGCCGGTGCTTCAGAAAGGCCATGGATTTCAAAGAGATTTTCAGTAATAGGACGACTGCCCTTGACGGTACGGGCCAAAGTGGACTTAAGTGAAATAATCCATCCCCTTGAGGTGTTGGCATAACTGAGAGCCAGTTTATCCCATGCTCAACGAGCACTGATAACGGATGCAATTAGAGGCTAGATGGAACCCGAGCAGCTACCAAGTAGGGCCCTAACAATGGTATGATCTTGACGGTACCAAATAATGTAGCACACGTTAAGATCAGTTTTGGCTTCATCGGTGTAGCGACCAAGTTCCAAGATTGTGCTCTCAACGTAGCCTTCAAGGCCAAGACCAACAAGTGCCAAGTAAACTTGACACTTCCAAAAAAGAAAATTGGAGGTGTCAAGTCGAATGAGAAAGTGTGTTGAGGCAATAATAGGGACAACGCGAGTTGTACGCGTGATAGCCATGGAAACTGAGAGGAAGGATTAGAAAAAAATTAATCTTGTAAGATATGGGCTCTTGATACCATGAAGAATTGAATGAAAGAATGTATTAATGAATGAATATACAATGTATGTTGGTGTATATATAATACATATATGATGTCAGATAAACATATCTAACAAACTCACATAAATATGTGGAGTAACAAACTCAGGAGTATACACGACCACTTAGTCCACATGAAAAGGATGTACATAATAATAAACCGTAATAATATAATAATATTATATGCTAATAAACCTTACCTAATAATATATGAAATTGAACAAATTCCAGAAACAAATACAAATTAACCAAGACAAATTCCTGTTTGGCATAGTAAAAAATGCAATAAAGTGTACTAACCTGGCGGAGGTGAGAGATAAACATTGATGAGGGTGTTGGTGGTGGAGAGAATGCAAATCGTTGTCAGAACAGTACTCCATTACAATACATGAGAAATTCGAGGTCTGAAATTTAACGTAGAGATGGGGCAAGAAAGGGTGGTCTACATCCTTAATCTTCCCCTCTGTCTCTGGCTCTCCGTCCTCTCAATCTTCTTCTTCAAAGTCGTTGAGTCATTGTTGCTTGCCCGCTCGAATTAGCCACCCTCGACGCTTGGATTTGCCCCATTCGCTCTCGGCTTAGGTGGTTTCTCTGGGCGACAGTGATAGTCTGTGCGAATGGGTGGTCACTATGATCAGCGGCGATAGTGGTCACTAACTCACTATGACTGCTGGTGGTCACCGAGATATTGGCTACTACGGAACGGAAACACTATGACGTTAGTCAATGTAGTGTCAGTTAAAAAATGCAACTATCTTAAAGGTTTTAGTTTCATTTTTGGAAACTTAAAAAATGTTTATTGATTAATTTGTAGTAATATTATTGAGTTTTTTCCCGGAATAATGCTAATTAAATAAATTATTCCCGAAATACTTTCGGGTTAAGAATAATTCCCAAAATACTGCTGGAATTAACCACGGTTAAGAAAAGCCGCCACTCCAAGTGGAGGCTCTTGTATTACTTCACAAAAGCCGTCACTTCAAGTGGCGGCGCTTCTCTTACGTCCCATTTTGTACATATATAAAACGTATTATGTTTCAAGAATTTGTTTAACTGCCTTCCCGATTGAATTTTGAGCTCAAATTTGGTATTCATAAACTAGACTTGATGAGGAACATGCTCAAAAAATTTCATCAAAAAATTCCACTGGAAACACCCTCTGATGGTGTTGTCTGCGGGGGGTTCCGGTCAGGACGTCATGACAAACGGGTGGTCCGGCCACCTCAATTTGAGGTGGTTCCCGGTGGTATGTTTTGATGATTTTTTTTGTATGTTCTTAATAAAGTCTAGTTCAGTCATACCAAATTTGAGCAAAACATTCAATCCGAAAGGCCGTCAAATGATTTTTGAAAGATAACTACGCCGGATTATACATATAAAACGCAGTTATCTTTAAAAAATCATTTTACTGCTTTCCCGATTGAGATTGGTTCTGAAATTTGATATGGATTAACTAGACTTGATGAACAACATGCACAAAAAAATTCAGCAAAACTTCCCACCGGAAATCACCTCAAATTGAGGTGGCCGGACCACCCTTTTGTCATGACGTCCTGACCGGACCCCCCCGCGGACAACACCATCAGAGGGTGTTTCCGGTGGAATTTTTGATGAAACGTTTTGAGCACGTTTCTCATCAAGTTTAGTTTATGCATACCAAATATTAGCTCAAAAGTCAATCGGGAAGGCAGTTAAACAAATTCTTGAAACATACTGCGTTTTATATATGTACAAAATGGGACGTAAGAGAAGAGCCGCCACTTGAAGTGACGACTTTTGTACTATAAGAGAAGAGTCGTCACTCGGACTTTCCTTAACCGTGGTGAATTCCAATAGTATTTTGGGAATTATTCTTAACCCGACGGTATTTCGGAAACAATTTATTTAATTAACATTATTCCAGAAAAAAAACTCAATATTATTGTGCTCACCACTGTACATTTTCTACCTTTCATTTATATTTTGTTGTTCACTTTACGAGTTCTTTGTTACAAAATTTTTGTTTCTGACTTTTTAAATTTCCCCAGTTTTCTTCCAAAAAAAAATTCCCAGTTTTTGCAGTACACCACAAGCATCAATTCACGACGGATGGGAGCACCCAAACGGCTGAGAGCGTGACTACACACCCGCTGTCTAAGCGTCCGTTCCCCTATGTCGACGACGAATGCCTATGCCGGTGCTCGATCCGGCGGAAAAATAGTTAACAAAAGGCACAGGAAATTCTCAACATTCACCCCGTACGACCGTCCACCTCCGCCTCCAGCACAGAAAAGCCCCAATTGGCTCACCGGTGTCGTGTTTCCGGCCACTCGTACTATTGTCTCCGGTGCAGCAAAGTTGCTGTCTTCCGTCTTCGATTCAGACTCTTCTTCTTGTTCTTCATCTTCGGCCTTTTCACATCCTGACAGCAATAGCATAGAAGGTGCGTCATTATTCTTTTTGCTAGTATTCATTCATGTCCGTTGAATTTATTTTCTTTGAAGTATGATGGACAAATGTAATCAATTGCATCGGTATACCCCCCACCCCATTTCGAGTATCTATACAAAAAATGCACTTACCTGTGCAAACCTAGAAGGCGATGTGACATGTTCTGCTTTGTGCAAAGTTGCAAACTAATTGACACTACTCCAATCCTCTTGCAGAGGATGACATCAAAGATGACAATGATCACGATAAAGACGTTGAATTATTGAAAGAGGTAAACTGCAACAATTTAATGCTGATACATTAGGAAAGTTCTTGATTATGAACACCATCAACTTATTCATTTAGAGTTCATAGGTAATGTTGGTTCAAAGAGCCTTATCCCTTCACAAATTCTATTTGAATCCTCAATATCACCACATAATTACAAGTAGTAGTTAGTAAGACTCCACACTTGAGATCTTTGTATGCATGCAAATATTTTATATTTGTAGATAATTTCTACCATTCTATGCAATGTGGGTGCACAAGTTTTATCATTTTGTATGCATGTGAGGCTGTGAGCATGCTCTAACTTGTGGAGGAGCATTAGAAGTTTAACAGTGTTCAATTGTTCATGGATTGATATTAGGATGAAATTTAAGTAATTAACTTTAGAAGTATTAGGAACTTAATTCGTTGATTTATACACTTAGGGCTGGTCAAAGGGAAGTGACCCTAACTATTTCACACTACAAATGATTTTTGATAACTTTTGGTTCTTTTAAAATTTAAACCACAATATTACCAAATTAAGCACAACAGGCAAATCTATTGTTATGAGACAATATCTTAAATGTATACAACAACAACAACATCCAAGCCTTAATCCCAAAAGAATTTTTGGGTTGGACGTCAGGATTAACTTAGTATGAAAATGTATGAAAAAGTATCTTAAATGTATGAAAATTTAAAATTAAAACAGTATGAACTTATTACATTACAATGACTCTCCATGTTATCTATCCTAGTACTCGCCGAGTACTTGCTACTCAGGTAGGACCTTGCTGATTTGTACTCTGACTCGCACAGTTACATTTTTCTGAGTAACTCACCTAGTACTCGGCGATTTTCTCTACTTAGTCACAAGGTTGACTCGCCGCGTTACTTGGCAGCCAGTAAATTGCTTTTTTTGGAGTTTAACATGAACAAGTTAAACTAGGAGTTGTTACTGCCATGTATGAAAAATACTGTCATAATTGAAAAACACTGTCACTAACTATAATTAATACTGTCATGTTAAATGCACTGTACTGCAACTATTTGGCAGTTACGCCTACTGCCTACAAGATGACAGTAAATAATGTCTTGTTAGTCCTTTTTTGGGAATAAAAACATAGTAGTCCTATTTTGGAATTCCAAACTCCTTTTACTCCTATTTTGGGAAATCTCCCAAGTCTATAATGGGGCAGAGGTGATATCATTAATATTTCGTTTTCGACATTATTTTTCTAAATCAGTTACCTATCCATTCCTTGAACACCGTAAGCAAGCATAAAACGTCAGCATGTATAAAATCACTATTGGAGATTATTTTTAATAAATAATTATTTCAGGTGGCAGGTCCGTATGAAACCGCTCCTAATGGGTTAAATAATTATATATACCTGAAGATACTTTCATGTATGGCCTAAATTGATGAGAAATATGCCTTGACACCTGACTTATTAAAATCTTGACCGAAAATTAAAAGTAGAGAACTATAAACAGAATCTGCATCAATGCATAAGATAAGGACACTAAATTTATAATTCGGTGGTATATGAACCAAGAGATGGAAGGATTTTTACCTTCCCTACTATGTGTGCCTCAATGGCATTATGGCAGTTCCATACATTTGATTTTAGTACAACTAACAGATCACATTTTTATCTGTTTTTTGGTTCATTTTCTTGTTGTTTGTGCCACACCAGTGGCTTTTCACTAGCGCTTGGGCCACCATTCAATTAGTTTTAACTTCTATATGTGGCATGTTGATGAACTGAATTCAGGAGTAATTAGACTTATCTAGGAAAACCTATGTTTACAGTTTCAGTATTTCATATGTTAATGATAGTGATGACTAAAAGTGCTATACGTGACTATGTACTAAAAATGAAAAAGAAGCAGAAAAGCTGTGCCAGACAACTGATGCTTATTTGAATCAGTGTTGCATAAGAACAATGAACATCATTGTATCTTGAAAACTGATACAGTATTGGTGATATTCATATATTTCTAGTTTTAGTTATACATGCCCCTTATCATTATTAATAATTTATAAATATTAACTTTATTAAAAACTATTTAAGAATACTTGGACTTCATCAAAAAAGACAGAATGTGCTGCAACAGATGGTGAACATAGTGAAGGAATGAGCAAGAGCAAATGTTTAATCGAACAGCTACTTATGAGGGAAACTTTTTCGAGGTAATATGCTATTCGAAAGCTTGTCTTTTTTAATATTTTATATTGATGGTTCATGGTTCATATGGGCTGTTCAAGTTTGTCAAACAGTTTTCATGAAATCTCATGTTTCTATGATTGATTGGATTAATAAATGTGATTTGTAACACTGCTGACCAAAAGGGCAACTCTAGTAAAATACATGGTGTCTTCTTTGATTCAAAAATGTTAATATGAACTATAAAGTGATGAGATCTCACTGAGTAACTGTACCTTTAGTTCTGAAAGTTGGATTTGTTGAATAGTTGTGCTAAAATGCTGAGTTCTATCATATGAGAAATGTTTTGAAGACAAAATTTACTCGTACGCAACACTTACCGGAAATTAACAAGCACACGCTGTTTTTTGAAATAATTTTCTGTTGCAGATTTCTTGGTATTGAAGTATGCAGTTATGCACCTTTCTGGGGCTTAGACACATAAAGTGAATCTAGATTTTCTCTAGGTATAAGCTAGAGATCGTAAAATATTTGAAAATGTGAAGTGTGAACAGTGTAGCTTAGCTCTTGAAATTAAGCGAAGAGTGGATTTCATGGGAAAAATCAGCCATGGGAAAGGCTTTGCTGGTCAGAAAGCTGTGTAATTCTGCTTTCTAGATCATATGTGGGTGTAGAGGGATATGGTAAAAGGATTCCATGTCTTAGGGGAAACCAGAAAAGTAAGACCCAATAAAAGAGTCCATGTAAATTTTTCCATCATTTGCAATGGAGCCAAAGATTCACTATTTTTTTTGGCTTGAGAATATGATGGAATAAAGCAAAATGGCTCACTAAACTGTGCACTTCTTTGTTATGAAGTGGCAGTCAGTCAATGCAATTTTGGACGCGATTTCCACTATGGGTCATCCGGAAAGAGTCTCTCTGTGCTTAAGTATAGGGGTAAGACTGCGTACATCCGACCCCCTCTTATCCCACCGTAGGTGGGAGCCTTTGTGGCACTGGGGAAATGATGATGATGATGACAATAAACTGTCGAGTTTTGATCTAGTTTACTAGATGCACCTTATAGATGGAAACACTATTCAGCTGTCATTCCTTCTAAGTAGTGTGGTAGGTGCCAACATGGGTAGCTTTGCAGTGGAGTCAAAACAAAATATCAGCAGGAGGCCTAAAAAATCTTGGAGCCTATTCATTTTTTTTCCTATTAAATATATTCTGTTAAAGATTTTTTATTCTAAAGGCTAAAAAGGTAAGTTTAAGTGTATTTTAAAATGTCCATGATAGGCCCCTAAAATAATAAAATGTAATTGATTACTCCCTCTTTCCTAAAATAATCTTGTTGTTTTCCTTTTTGATCGGTCACAAAATAAATTTCATGTTTCACTTATTGTCTTATTTCAACCAGAACTCAAACACGCACTTCCATTTTCACTGTACTTCTTAATAGGCGTGCCAAGTCAAAACAAGAAGATTATTTCAGGATGGGGGGAAGTATCATTTATTGAGAATTAATTATTTGGGAAAACTGTCAAATAGGTCCCTGAACTATAACAAAAAAGTCAGTTAGATCCTCATACTATAAAATCATTCAATCAAGCCCTTGAACTATGAAAAAACACTTAATTCATGTGTGGAATACATGTGGCTGATTTTACATTTTTTTTCTTTATTCATTTTCTCTCCCTCTGCTTTCTTGTACCGCCCAACTGCCCAAGCCTCCTCCAAGTCCTCCTGCTTCCTTCTTCTCTCAATACCCCAACCCGTTCTGCTTTCTTCTTCTCCCCAAGCCCCCAATCTGTTGTTTTCGTCTCCCAAGCACCATCTTTTTTCTCTTTTTCTCTCTCTCCTTCTTTCTTCGTCCACCCCACCCTGTCAGCGGCGGTTGAAGACCATAGAGACGATTTCTCGGCGAAGTTGCGGATTTGATGAAGCAGTTAAATGGTCTCTGAAATTAGATAGTCCGAATTTCTCCGGCAACTTCACGGCTACAACCCCATTTGCCGGCTACTTCGTAGTAGTCCCAAACCACCGCACCAATTTATCACCGGCCGGAATCAAGTACCATCTCCGACGAGCATCCACGTGTGCAGCCTACTAGAGTCCATAACACTAAAAAAATACTCACCCTAAGAGAGGAGTGTGCACAATGTTTCGTTCCTTTATTGGAGAGAGGATGAGATCGATTGGAGAGAGAACAGTGAATTGAAGATAAAGGAAGATGACTATCCGTGTCATTTCCTTTCCTAGAACAAAAAATGAAGCCACCTGGCCGCCCACGTCAGCCACTACCAGGACAACCGGTGATTGACCTGCTAATAAGAGTAATTGGATGTTTTTTCATAGTTTGAGGACTTGATTGGATGATTTTATTGTATAAGGACTTACTTGACTTTTATGTTATAGTATAAGGACCTATTTGATTGTTTTCCCTAATTATTTCAATGCAACACTCCATCCAAGTGTAGCTAAGTGAATATCGCGCAGCACAAGAGTAAAGAAAACTCAATACAATATTAAAAGCAGAATAGGGTGCCTCATTTCAGTTCTTCCTTCATTACTTGATGCATTATCAATTTTCTTTATGTTAGTTTTTGGATTTTTAAAATTTCCACACCCCTTTTGAGATTATGCTGCAGAAATATGTCTTTGTCATATGAATGTGTTCTTTATTATTAGTTGTGTGTTGGTTTTCCACCAATATATTTCAGCTGCATAATGGACTTGCATCTCTTTCTGATGTATCTTGTTTATTATCATATTTACCAGGGCAGAGTGTGAGAGGTTTATAAACTTGATCAACTCCAGATCTGTGGATTCGCCAACACTTTATTATGGCCTCCAAGATGCAATACCAGATGGAACCACCGGTAATGGTGCTGCGTTTATGTTACTGCATTTGTATCAACTCATTTTGTGAATGTTATCAATTTTAACGAGTATTACAATATTACGGTTACAGGTACCTTGAATGCTTGCAGTCAAGCTATTACTGAAGCACGAGAATGGTTAAAAAACAAGAAAGAAGATTTGCACATAGGTCCATGCCTTGTTGATCAGCCAATATCTTTTATAACTGAAAATGTAAGCACTTACCCCCCCCCCCCCCCCCCCCCCCCCCGATTTTATAGGACCCATTTGTGAGTCATGTCTACCTCTGGTGCAAGAAGCAGCCTAACAGGCCTGCTTCAAGCGGGAATAAAATCATTTGTTATTTCTTTATATTATCTTGGAAGGGGAGCCTTGGTGCATAGGTTACGTTGTTGCTGCGTGACCAAGAGGTCTCGGGTTCAAGTCTTGGGTGCGGCTTCTTTCCAAAATGACAAGGGAAGGCTTGCCTCCTATGCACTCTTATGGTGGGAGTGTGGGACCCTTCCCTGGACCCTTGCAAATGTGTACGGGGCTTCCCTTTTCCCCCTTAAACTATTTTTCTTTATTACTTTAAGCCTGTTATAATTATGAGTTGCAATAGTATTGGATCGTTCTTTCCTATTACGGTTCAGCTCTTATCTTTGCCTATATAAGACTCTTGTATTTGGAGTAATTGTTCTCATTGAGCGAACGGTATAACCAGCTGTCTCCTTCCTCTATGGCGGGTTTTTTTGGATTTTTACTCTGAAGTTCTGAACACCATAGTTTTGAAATCTTTTGTTCCTCAGCGTTTTCAACAATTTGGGACGTGATGTTGTATGGTAGTAGCCTTTAGCGATTTGGTATCAACATCCATGATGGGGGAGACCAAGGTGAACACAGAAACTTTCAAATCATTCATGGAAAACATCAACCTATGCCAAGAACCCTGATAAGGTAACTTACCCATATGTTGACCTCTGTCTTGGTTCAACTGGAAAACTTGACCAGCTATTTATCCGCCTCAGATGATTCAAACACAGTTTTTGGTAGTTGAAAATGGGAACTTCCCTCCCTCAACAAACTGTGCCCATTTTGCGTGGAATTGGCAGACTTCCATATGCTACGCAATGCTCAACTGTCGAATTGGCCGCCTTCCATATGGAACACCTTCTTGGAAAATGACCGCCCCCAAGTTTGAACCTTACAAGGATCTCTTTTAGTTAAATTGATCTGCTGTGGCGCTACTTTGCTATTAAAGATGACCTCACATTGTTTGACTTATGAGTGATGATATTGGTTTGACAAAGAGTAAAACAAATGCTCTCAAGCTGGTTTTCTTGTTTATGGGGTTTATAATTCTCTGTTTTCCTCAAAATCCTTGTTAGGAACCCACTTATATAAGACTAATAATAGAAGTACTAATAAGAATATTAGTAATAAGGGCACTTGATGTATTGTAGTATAAATAGATGGGAAGGGGGAGTAGTGGAGAGGCTTTTAGACATTTTGGTCTTGGGACTGGGAAGGATACGAGACTGAACATCTCGATCTTTTGGGGCTACGGCTTTGGGGTCTTCGGCCTTGTTCACTGTTTCTTTTCTCTAATGGATATCTTCTTCAAAAAAATTCTTCAGCTGATTTCTTGTTACTCTTCTTGTAATTGTTCTGGAATTCTGGAGGTTCCTAACATTGGTATCAGAGAACTCGTTCCTGTAGCCTATCAAGTATCAACGGTCGATACTGGATACACGCAGGACGATGGGAAGTAATCGGGAGAGAGTGCAGCGCAAATTGGAACGAAACCGCGAGGAGACAGGGAAGACTCGCGATGAAGTGCGGAAGACTCACGATGAAGTGCGGAAGACTCGCGATGAAGCGCGGAAGACTCGCGATGAAGTGCGGAATGGATTCACAGAGCTGCCCGAACTGATCATACAGCAGAACGATCGACATGAATGAAGAAAATCAAGAAGTTCAAGTCGCCAGTTCGCCACACTGTACATGACAGTCCTACATCGTCTGAAGCAGGAGGTAAGTCACGAACTGTTTCTTCGCAAAGCTCTTCACATCAATCTTCGAGTTCTTCTTATCATTCTTATCATCGCTCTTCTCATTCAAGAAAGACACGATTGAAAGGAGATTATTCTTCTCCACCAAAGGATTCTCACAGTTCGCTATCTTCTTCTAAAGCTGTTTCTCGGAATTCAGCTAGTTCAAAGACAGAGGAATTACCTCTATTCTATGAGGATGAAGCGTATGAATGGATTGGGAGGATGGAAAGATATTTCCGAGTCCAAGCTATTGCAGAAAGATTTAAAGTGGACGTGGCAGCAAAGGCTATGGGGGAAGAAGCAGATGGCTGGTTTCAATGGTGGGATTTTCAAAAAAGAGAAGACAGTTGGGAGGCACTAAAAGAAGATTTGATTAGGGATTTTCCACCTAGACACCGGCAGAAGACAGGGAAGACGGCAAAACAGGAGTCATCCAAGTCACGAAGAACTTCCAGTTCGCAATCGAGAACTTCTTCATTCAGTTCGCAGGAATCATCAAAACAGGAGTCATTGAGGTCGCCAAGAACTTCTCGTTCACAAGCTTCTCAATCAGCGCTAGAAATTTTCCAGTCAACAGAGAAGGTTCAGATGGAACCGACGAAAAAGGTTCAAGCAAGTGAATAAGAAAGACGAAATCAAGGAGAAACGACAGTTTATTCAAGGGCCAGATTATGTTTATTCTCATCTTGCAGAGGATGTGGATTTAATTTCCAACCAAGTTTCTATTGCTGACAAGCTTATTCAACCATGTTCTTTTGGAAATAGAGTTCTAATTGCTTCTGAAACTGTTCTTGTCAAAAGTCAACATTCTTTACAAGTAAAGGAAAGATTTTCAGAAAAATTATGCATTGGTAAAAATAGATCTGGTACAGAGGCTCAGGAGGAGGAGTTTGGGCTTGTTTCGGGAGAATCTGCTAACATTTTTGGAAACTGCAAACCGATTCATGATGCTGACAAGTCTAGTTGCGTAAAGGAGATGAACTGGCTGAATGTTATAAAATCTGAAATGATATACTGTCATTCATTAAACATTTCCTTGGAAGGGCTGAAATCATTGAACAAGTTTGATAGTTTCAGATGTGAGGATATTGCTTCTATGATGGGTAATAAAAAGGGGTTAGAAGAGGACAATGTGTTGAGCATTATTGTTTTTAGGAGATGGATGGAGAAGTATGTTGCTGATGCTGACAGCCAGGATCAAGTTATTGGGGATAAAAAGGGGGTAAAAGTCCAGAGTATCTTAGCAGGGCAGCTGGGAAAGAATGATCCACAGATTTGTGCATTTGAAGGATCAGTCTTCATTCACTCCAATGTCAAATCTGGGATGGGAGTTAAGGACTGCAGTTTGACACTTTATGCAAATTGGGACTCCTGTAATTATAGATTGAAAGGGGCTGATGAATTTACTTTTGAATATCAGTTGGATAAAATCAGTGTGGTCCTGGATCTTAATACTCAGAGTATGGTCATGGGATTGGAAGCTGAAGCAAATTTTCAACCTTACAATATGATCTTAGGCTCCAATGAACCAGAACTGAACTGTTCCACTTGTGCTCTTGTATGGGAAACCAAGCTAAATGTAGATGCTGGAAATATAGAAGTGGAACCCTACATGATGGGAAAAATAGTTATAGCTATACCTCAGTATCAATGTACTGGTTATCAATGTGCAGTTCCTTCCTTGCGTGTCAATACACCAGTATACATCCGGCAGTACATGGCATAAGGATCCAGAGTGGTGGTGGGGTTTGTAAGCTGCCAGACATCTTCAGAAAGGTTCATGGTCCCACAATCAGTTCGATATTGGGAAGGGAGAGGAACAAGGAAGAGGAAGAGGAAGCAAAAGATTTTGGCTTTCTCCTATTACCCACCTTGAGGACAAGGTGGATGTTTAGGAACCCACTTATATAAGACTAATAATAGAAGTACTAATAAGAATATTAGTAATAAGGGCACTTGATGTATTGTAGTATAAATAGATGGGAAGGGGGAGTAGTGGAGAGGCTTTTAGACATTTTGGTCTTGGGACTGGGAAGGATACGAGACTGAACATCTCGATCTTTTGGGGCTACGGCTTTGGGGGCTTCGGCCTTGTTCACTGTTTCTTTTCTGTAATCGATATCTTCTTCAATAAAATTCTTCAGCTGATTTCTTGTTACTCTTCTTGTAATTGTTCTGGAATTCTGGAGGTTCCTAACAATCCTTATGTTCCATTGGAAGTGGTTGCGAGTGGCCAGTTTTACTTTTTATCATTTTAGAAGTTACATGAGATACATTGTGTAAAAATCAAATCTACTCATTCTTATAGGAATGAGTGAACCAGTCAAAAAGTGCAATTGTTTGCACTATAAAATGAGACTGGAGATCTTTTGAAAGAGACAAAGCTCTCGTGCCAATATGTCAAAGAAAACTAATTCAGAGAAGTCATTGATAGTGTACAATTTCGATCAGGAGGCTTGTTGGCTGTTTCATTTTTGTACTTGTTTTCCACGTGCATTTGTTAAAGTACCGATGTGCAGTGGGGGTTTCTCTTATTTGTATCCCCATGGAGCCATGTCAATTTTGAAAATTGAAAATCATATTTTCTAGTTTCCGAAATCTGTTTTTTAGTTTAAAAATAAAACTGAAAAATGCAATTTGAAAACAACTCAGGAAGGGGGGCCTCAGTTAATATTGGATTACATGGTAGATACTTTTTAGATGTTTCAGTCATTATATAAATTTTGATGTCTATATCAAACACATTGATGAAATGGTGGATAGCTCTGGAAGTTCGAGCCAGTACTTTAGGTTTCTGTTCCATGAAATCTCTGTAGTAGCAGTTTCTTAGGTATTTACCAATGTGTACAGTCAAGACTGAGAGCCTCAGTCATTTAGAAGTGTCAGTCATGGGCATTGTTGTCGGTGCACAGGGATGAACTGTGGAATCATGGCGGAAGGGTCATGGTGGCCACCTTAAAATACAAATCTGATTGGGCGGCAAGTAGAATTCTTTGCATATATGACTTAAATACACGACGGCCGACGAGGTATTGTAAGCGGTAGGGCGGCGAGTGGAATCATGGGAAGGACTATGGAGTAAGTGTTGTGAGAATCTTGTTCAGGTCGAATTGTTGGAGCACCAGTGGTTGGCAAACTGAAGTCAGCCAGCTGGAATAACATAGTAAAGAAGTATGTCAAAATTGGGAAGTAAATCATCTTTTCTAACTGTCTCTGCTAATTCTGGCATCATGACTTAAGGTTACATACGGAGTATTTATTTTTCAAGACACCCAGGGTATGTTCAGATCCTAGGAAAGGACGGGGGAAAGGGAAAAATGCTACAATGTTCTTATGTTTGGCTTTGCCCTGGAAAATTCAAATAAAAAAGAAATACTTTTTTTCCTTCAATGTGATATGTTTATGTTTCTTTGTGTTTACATAGTAGATATAAAAGAATAAAAAGAGTATACGATGATGTCACATAAATTAATTGAGTTGTATCCTATCTTTTAATTCCCTCGTATTTTCATTCCTTTCAATTTTCTGCAATGTTTTTCTTCATAATGTCATTCCGGAAGGTCTGTGAATGTAGTTAGGGTGCACTTCAAGTTTTCGATTTACCGAATGGACTTGGCAATAAAATCTGAAGCCATACAAAAAGTGAGTGCGATATGTAATTATAAGTGCACGCTTGCCCACACCCATATGAGTGAGTGCTTTGTGCTTTTCTTTGACTACACTATTTTGTTCCAATGACCTTTTCAAACAGTATTCTGCTAGTTCAGTCAGCTTGGTATATAAAATGTTAAATAGAATTTGGAGCCTTTCCTATTATCCGAATCACATTGCAAAAGCTTATATGCCTTTTTCTGCATTCCCAAAACATAACTGAATTTATTATCCGAATCACTATTTTGTTCCAATGACCTTTTCAAACAGTATTCTGCTAGTTCAGTCAGCTTGGTATATAAAATGTTAAATAGAATTTGGAGCCTTTCCTATTATCTGAATCACATTGCAAAAGCTTATATGCCTTTTTCTGCATTCCCAAAACATAACTGAATTTATTATATCTCTTCTGCAGTTTAATGCTTCGGGCAATTTCCAGTTCGATATACTTCTAGAAGCATTAAGATAAAACAAATTGCACAATGTTGGATTCTTTATTACCACGGTTTTATTTATAAGGGTCCTTTCGTACATGTTAAAATCTATTTCAGATGGAAAAGGTAGATGGCTCTCCTATATATGTGGCAAAATCATATATGAAAGCTCGTCCTCCATGGGCATCTCCTTCTGCCGAGCATGAAACAAGAACACCATCAATGAAGTCGAAGCTTTTCGACAAGGGAACTCCTTTTCCTGATGGGGTTGATTCTACATCCTCCTCACGGGTATGCTAATAGTTGTTTTTATTATTATTGGTTATTGCATGTTTACATTTTTTTTAAAATAGAAAGGTGTCTTGCAAATATGTGATCATGAAATCATGCGTAATATTGAAAGGTGCTTGAATGTTTTGGTGCTAATTGCCCTTCGATATATGATAGTAAACAAAATTTGTCACCCATAAAGGACATCTATTCAATGCCTCATTTTTCATTGGCAATCTTTTTTGTCAAAGATTTGCCTTTTGTTTGGTTAAAGAAAGGGAGGAAAAATAGAGAGGGGAGGGAAGGAAAATGGAAAAGTTAGAAAAGATGTTATGTTTGGTTTAGTGGAGGAGCGAGGAGGAAATAAAAAGTAAATACAGTATATATATATATATATATATATATATATATATATATATATATATATATATATACACACACATATATATGCATATATGTTGAAGTTCTTCCATCATTTGCAATGGAGTCAAAGACTCTATTTTTTGGCTTGGAAATATGATGGAATAAAGCAAAATGGCTCACTAAACTGTCTGCGCTTTTTTGTTATGAAGCAACAGTCAGTCCATGCAATTTTCGACGCTGTTTTCACTATGGGTCATCCGGAAACAGTCTCTCTGTGCTTTAGAACAGGGGTAAGACTGCGTACATCCGACCTCCCCTTACCCCACCATAGGTGGGAGCCTTTGCGGCACTGGGGTAATGATGATGATGATGTTGAAGTGGATGTAAACCTCTGAATTATATGCCGGAGAACAAGTATACCCTCAGCTTCAATTTTCTTGTGGAAATTTTAAATACAAACATTGTAAAAGTGGTACAAATATACCCCTGAGAACATCATGTGCCTTCATGTGATTATGTCCAGTGGTTGAGGGTTATGCATGTTCTCTCTTTTTTTGGATGAAGTTATGCATGTTCTCTAAATATAGTTCAAGGGTATCTTTGTTCCAACTATATAATTTTTGTGTTTAATTGATCCAAAAAATTAGAGTATTATATGTTATACTACGTATATTATGTAGTTCAAGGAATATTTGTTTTCTACTGTTATGTACGGCCCTTTTTATGATCATGTTTAAATATATACCTGATGATGACCACTGGATCACAGAAAAAAAATGCTCTTGCATCTGGATCATGGAATATACATGAGGAAATACGAAGAGTTCGTTCAAAAGCAACAAATGACATGCTACACTCCCCCCCTGCCAAAAGAATTGATCTGCCACTGTTGTCTGAACAGAAAATGAAGCGGAAAGCTTTTATTGATTCAAAACTGACTACTGCGGGTGACATGGCAGTACTGGCTACTGATATTGGATTATCTGGTTAGTCTTTACCTTTTAGGATCTCTTTCTGACCTCTTAGATTTTCGTTTTTTAGTCTGCACTTGATGTTGGTGATGAAATCATTTTGCACTTCTTGCTTTAGAGATCAGACAAGTTGCTGGAGAGTGTAGAACTGTGCTATTCGAGTCATCTGAAGCGCAGGTAATCTATCAACACAAATATTTCAAATCATCTTTCTCATATGATTCATATATGCACATTGAACTGATTTTGCTATTACATAGACATTTGATGTTAGCCCCCTACCAATAGATTACATGTCATCAGTCACCTTCATTTCCCATTCTATATTATAAAGGATAATGAACGAGCTGAAGTTGCTGGTGTGTCTTCTGCTTCTGAGTCTCATCACCACAGTGGTCCTGTTCTCACATCAGAAAATGTTGATGGTAATTCTTTTTTATTTCTACTATATTACACGTGGACCAAATTTTAAGGATGGGAGTTGGTCCTTTACATGCATGAATTAGCACATGAATTTCTAAAAAATGTTGATGGTTCAATGTGTGTGTAGGAAAATGATCTTGTCAGCTTCAAGAAATGGTAACAAATGGAATTACAGGAACCGTTGATCGTGCTCACCATTGTTGATCGTAACAAATGGTAAGCATGATCAACCGTTTATGTGTTTCCTTTCCAACTAAAAGCGTCAGGAAGGACTGATCGTTTTGCTGTTTATATATATAGTGTACATTGAGTTCAAACATTTGACCTTCATAGAGTAATATGCAGTAATTTACCAAAACTATGCAGTAATAAACTCTCTTCATCCCTAAGTGTAGTTGCCACTTTCCTTTTTGGGGTGTCCTACGATTAAGTTGACATCTTCTTTTCTGGTAATGTTTGTGTAGTAAAAGACTATTTTGCCCCTATAAATAGTAAACCATTAATTACCCACTTTCTCCAACATATCTTTCTCAAATTTGGAAAATCAACACAATTTTTTTGTCGAAGAACACCAGAAGTCAAAATATGAACTTAATACGGGGACACAAGAGTATCACACAATTTGCATTCTAATTTGCTTAAGATATTACATGCATCTAAATCTCTCTCTTTCTCTTGCATGGTTTTATATCCTAAACCATCAAATAATTTTAATATGGCAGTGAAAAGCGTACCATCCTTGGAAGTTAGGTAATGATATTTCTCATGCCCTGTCTTTCACTTTACCTCACCCCTGTTATGTATATGTGTCTTTATGTTATCATTTCTGCTCTATCTGACATGCAGTTTGCTTGGAGGTGGAGAACAACAAATGCAAATAGATGCATTTCTGAGCACCGAAAGACTAAGTAATGATGTTAGGGTGGTGCAGGTCAAGTGCGACTTTCTAACCGAGGCTTCTCTTGAAGTACCTAATTTCGAGAATGAGCAGATGAGTAGTGGTACCTAGTAGTACTCCAAAATAGTTGTAACACGCTTTAGCAATAATATTTCATCGTAGAGTAACCCCCTCCCTCATCGCCCACTTTATTAGTCTTGCCACTCTATTGTAGACTAGGCTAAGCTAGACTAGAATGCTTTGACATGCATGCTTCCATACCTGCTGTATTTCTTATTAGTATATTAGTGTACATTTTTTCAAGTTTATTTAGAACATATTTTTGATGTTTTGTTTGCCATCCCTTTCAACTTTGATATATGTTACAGATTTTAATCAGGCCTGTTACAGATTTTATGGTAACCAATCTCACTATTATTTGTTAGTAGTTATAATCCTATATCAGTCCGTCTAACAATGGACTTATGGACATTACACGTGACAACCTCACAGAAAGACATAAATAACAGATTGAGGAAGACACTCTTCTCCGTTAAAATATACCCCGTATATTTATCACTAATTAAAATTTACACATTTTAAAATTATGCTATAATGTCTATTGAATCATAAAACTCAATTTGGATGGATACGCAAGGTCAAAAGATGGTTAAGTAAATGAAGCGCATATGGAAACTTAAACTTGGATGGATATAGTATTTTTTGTCCATAAGCTCATTTGAAAATTCAAACATCAAAAGTCAGCTAGTATTGTTTGTGTTCACTTTGGAGTTTGGAGATTATTGTGTTTGAGACTAATTCTTTTCAGACGTACATAATAGTTTCCATTCTGGATTACATCTAGTTCTGATTGACATCCAGCTGCCTGTCTTAATGTTGGACATCTCAAATGCTGAGAATCACATTGAAATAGTACAAGTTTTATGTTCAGTTTTTATGGTCTAACATGTCATATCTCAATTCAGGCGTGGATGGGGGTTTAATTCCAGTTCTGAGCCCGAATTAGACTGGGAGCCTGGGACTGTCCAAATTTTTTATCCCTAAATGAAATACTTTTTCGGTGTATACAAGTTTATCTATGCACATAATAAATGTAGACTGCTGAAACATTAAGATGAATAAAATGTTGTTAATGCCAAATTAGAGGCCAAATTTAACAGTTGGTGCTTAGAAAAGACTCATCTGTTTATGAATTAGCCGAACAAATACAAAATATTATCTAAAGGTATTATGGCCTTAAGGGGATGTTACTCGATGTTGATCATGATGATGATATCTTAAAGAAATAGGAAGATTATATTTTTTGATAGATCAAAAGAAATGTACATTAAATAGCTGTGATTAATTAACATTTTGATATTGCACCAGGCATGAATATGTGTGTGTATCCTTTATAATGAGAAAATACTGTTGGTTTGCATTGATCTCATCATGTTTAAAAAAATGTTACACATCAACTGAATATGAACCACATACCAGAACCTCTTATTAGTTGTTACACAATTGCCGCCTCATAATTAAAAATAAAAAAGCTCTTCCAGGGTTTTTCTTAACATGTAGATGCCATCACTTGGGTTCTTGCAAAGATATAACAGTCTCAAAGGCCCCAGCCAATGCCCTCACCTTATTCTTCCTTTGCTCACGAAGCTTGCTTGCAGTCTCCTCAATCACATCGTTGGACACCACATTCTCGTTCCTGGTTCCTCGTACCACCTCCGACAATTCATGAGTAGTTTCAGTAGGAGCATCAATGACATTATTATTGTTCTCACTGGTTTCCTTAACTTCTTCAGCTAACTCTTGATCATCCTGATGATCATCTATTTCCTTCGTCATTTGTTCTTCTTTTTCTTGCTTTTCTTCAATGTTGTCACAAACTTGTAGGATCTTCTCATAACTGTTTTCTTCAAGAGGAATATCATCATCAGCAAACTTTGTGTCAGCGGCGACAGGAAGTGTTTCAGTTGTAGTTGTGCTTTTGTTTTCCTCATCGTCTTCAACAATATGTGGATCTCCTTCTATTTGGGCGGTTTCCTTGCTTTCTTGGACACTTTCAAGCTTGGTGATCTCTTCAGGATCATCATTTCCTTCCTCGAACGTGTCAAAATTGTCTTCTGAGTCTAATAAGGAGCCATTTTCATAGGAAGTCAGATCATCTAATTCCTCATCGTCTGTGAGAAGAACATTATCTTTTTCTTGTATAGCTTTGGTAAAAACCTCTGTGTCATCTGCTACTATAGCTTTTCCAAAAGATGATGAGTCTTGATTAGTACTGCTTGTGATTCTCTCTTGCCTCTTGTTAATTCTTGGCCTTGAGGACAAGGTGGTGCCAGGCTGCTTTCGAGTTTTATTGCTTGTTAACTTATTCGTTGCCGTTGTTCGGTCAGAAAGAGACTTGACTTGATGATGGGTTGTAGTGGAAGAAGATTTGCCAACTGATGAGCTTGATCTCAACACTTTTCCCTTGGTCCCACTTTTTGGCATGGTTTGGGATGATTGTGGCTTGTCCAAGCCATACTTTGTTGTTCTTGGCAAAGAGGGCTTATTCCCTTGAGTTGGGCGGCCTTGGGAGGTAGGAGAGGAAACCGAATGTGACATGTCGAAAGATCTTCTTCTGGCTAAATATGGCTTCCTATCATCTCCTGCCGGATTCGGGGGGTGACTGTCAAGGTGATGTGATGGTGGTTTATCCAAGGATGGTTTCCTTTTGGGCATCACAGAGGGCTGCATTCTTTTCTTGGCTTCAGAAGATTTTGGTTCTGGATAGCTTGGGGCTGCAGAAGCAGCAGTTGATGAGATTGGCTTTGGTGAAGTGGTGGTGCTTCTTTTATGTTGGGATACATTATCAAGATGAGTTGCATGTGATGATGCTGATGGAGATGTTATTCCTTTCTTCTCCTTTCCCTTTGCTCCAATCTCCTTCACCCTTGTTGCCATGGCTTTTATATGTGCCAAATTAACCTGCGTTATTAAGAACAAATAATATATCTAAGCCCCTAAGCCTCACCAAGAAGGAAATTTTTGAAATATGGGTATATATATTCGCAACTTATTCATTTTTGCCTTATTATTGGAATGTCCTCCTATAAGATTTGTTTGAATTTTAATTAATTAAATTCAAGTAAGCTATTGATGAAACCTTTTGCATTCACAAGCATGATATGCCAATATAATGCAAATAGATGAAAAGAAGAGGGAATTGAAGTGGTCATGGATGCACCTTAATTAGATGAAACAGGAGAGAAACAAGAGCTCATTAATGGACGTACGGCCGGGTAGAGGAGAATGCAAAATAGGGAAAGGAAGAAATAAAGAATTTCAAGATATGAAAGCAAAGAGCATACATAATATTTCATTTTTGTAGATTGATAAATGCATGCATCATTATTATTATTGAATTTTGCGACAATAGCGCATAACCTTGCATCCACCAATGGTGAATCAATTTAAGTGTAATTGATGGCCACCATGTACATGCACCCTAACCAGATCCATGGTTATCAATAGTCAATTTCGACAAAAATAAATATGATACTCCTCCGCTATCTTTATCCTTTTTTTCATCCACCCTACTAAATTTATCGCATATTATAGTACGTATTTAGTAATACTCGTGTGTCTATAAATGATTTTTACTTTACTCACACTTTATAAATTCAATATCAACTACATACAGAGGTTCAAGCAAGAGCGAAAGCCAAGATAAATCGATACAAATAATTTTTTCAAATATATTATATTCTTACATATAAATTTTCACAAAAAATACAAACGCTTTTCAAATATGGGGATGATCGGAGTCCGATCAAGCGCACCTTTACCTCCACCCATGACCACATTATTCTATTTTTCTTAGAGAAAATTAACCCACATATGACTAAAATTTAATGTGTTTCCCAAAATATGACTTCTATCTTTTTTCTTCCCAATATGATAGTGTTTCGTATGTATAAAACTAATATTTAATCATATTTTGGGATGTACAAAAGTAGTAGTCATATATTCTGAAATTGTCAATGTTTTAGTCATATATTAGTAAATATCCCCTTTTCTTAATTACTTCACCATTCATTTGGTCATAATCTTAGTGGCAAAAGTAGTCATTACTAAAACTAGCTATCTTCCTACTCTAATCTATATAATCTCTAAACAATCAGATTTTGTATAATCTTGATATCCCTGGATAATAGAAGTTTTTTAATAATGTGAAGTCTTTGAGTGCTTGTGAACTATCAATTTTAAGTAATATGTAGTACAGAGTAATTTTTTACAGGTGTTTGCATGTGGCCACATATCATCCTAACTTTTACGATCTTCTGCCTAATACAAAAAGAATCTATATTCATATTTCGGTTTCATATTCTAATGAATAGTCCCGCTAAATATTTTCTTTCGCACAACCATACTTCCCAAAAATCTAACACATCATAAACATCTTCTAAAATAATCTTAATGTGAATGTTTAGATACCCTAGTGTGAATACATCACAATATTTTTCTCCAATCTTTTGTCAACAACAAAATATTGATAGAATTATAGTAATAACAAATAATAAGAGATGATAGTGTATTGCAAGTAACTTGTTTTCTTCATGGTTTAAGACTTAAGTAACCAAACTTATCTTCAATAAAAGAATCTATATTCATATTTTGGTTTCATATTCTAATGAATAGTCCCGCTAAATATTTTCTTTCGCACAACCATACTTCCCAAAAATCTAACACATCATAAACATCTTCTAAAATAATCTTAATGTGAATGTTTAGATACCCTAGTGTGAATACATCACAATATTTTTCTCCAATCTTTTGTCAACAACAAAATATTGATAGAATTATAGTAATAACAAATAATAAGAGATGATAGTGTATTGCAAGTAACTTGTTTTCTTCATGGTTTAAGACTTAAGTAACCAAACTTATCTTCAATTCTTCATGTATTGCTCTCTTTTTTCTTAATGTATTGCTCTCTTTAGGTGCTACAACGTATATAGCTGTGCTTGTCTTATTTAGTTGAAAGAAGTTGACTTTCATAATTGACAACGCAAGCATCAAAATATTATTAGTAAATTTTGAGTTAGAAAATCATATTTTCAAATTTAAGTTAAATAGACAAATTGATCAATTTATCATAATATACTTTGATAATACGGAGTATATATTAGTAAATGATATATGATCAAAGTAAATAATGTGAATAGTAAAGAAATCAGTGTTACATTTTATAATAATAACTATTACTAAAAAAATGTATCTAGGATTAGGATACTCTTAAGTCTTAAATACAAGTCACTAGTTCATTTGTTTTGTTTCACAATTTCTTTCGCAGTTGTCTCAGTTTTTGTTTTACATGTTTATCCCGGCAAAATTAGCAGAGCTTCAGAAAGAGAAGTCTGGATGAACATCCATGGCCCAAGCAAATTTCTGCAGATGGGTCTTGGTGAATATCTTTTCGATGGGAACCTCATTCCGTTTGCACCATGCCACTGATATCCTTGGGTCAAGGTAGTTCGTTTTCGACGTCCCCAAAGCCACGTTTTTCATATCCTCTTTCGTCTCTATCTGTTTCTCTGTTCTCTCAATTTTCACATTCGCCTGGTCTATCTTCTTCTTCAATGCTTCCGGTGCCAAATTTCTCTTAGTCGTCTTCCCCACCTGAGGCTTCCCATTCTCTGCACGGACCAAATCGGATCTCAGTTCATCCAGAAAAGCCTTTAACTCTTCGATCTTGTTGCGCAAGCGTGAAATTTGTTCATCGTGTGTCTTAGGAGCACTGCGCTGATGATTGCAGAGGATCGCCACCTGCTTGTTCGCAACCAGATATTTCCCTACTGCATGATCACCAGGTGTCCGACCATTTGTCAGCCTGTCCAGCTCTCTCTGCAGTGTGATGGAGGCGTTGTAAGTACGGAAAACCTTTGCAGTAAGGCCAGACATGAGTGACTTCAAATGAGCGTTCAGTTTATTTGTATCAAGCAGCTCGAAAAGGTCTTCGTCTTCACGCTTCCCACTTCGGAACTTTTTAATTGCTTTGAAGGCAGCTTTTTCCACTTGGACATCTCTCTGGTACCTGATGGAGTCTTTACCGAGGAAGTCGAACTTTAGTGTGTTTGGAGGAACTGGTTCTACATTCCCTACTTTCAACGTGCAGCAACCAACCGTGTCAGCAGCTTCTTCATCGTCCTTCTCATTGCCTGCCCTGAGAGCTAGTTTGTCAATGAGGTAGGTGGCAACAGCTATTTGCCGCTTTAGAGGATCTTCACTGGTAAAATCTTTACTGTATGCAACTCTGATGCCATCTATGTGCTCCTGCATATATGCATCCAGTTATCCACTAAGTTGGTTATTTATCAAAAAAAAAATACTGCCGATAATTTGAGATTCCCTTGGTCCAAAAGGTGGAATCTCCCACCCTAGGAGCCCCCCACCCCGATCCGACAGGATGGTGGGGAGGTTAATCACGGTGACTCAGTCACCAAAGCGGCGGTAGGCCTTATACACGTGCGCACCAGAGGTCCAGCCTTATTTCAGGTTCTGTAACATCCACACGGCCGCTGCGGGTTCCGAATCTTGGTCACTTGGTCCAATTTTCCCACCACTCGACCAATTTTACTTTTGAGATTCCCAGTTTTACTTTTCAGTTCCTTTTTAAGAAAATTACGTTTGGTACAACTGGCCTTCATACAACCTTAGATAATTGTGGAGGATGACAACAAGTAGAGGATGAAAAGTAGATAAAATGATAAAGTGAGAATGTAAAAGTTAGCAAAATCCAAATTAGGAAGTTCATATATTTTCAGAACAGGCCAAAAGAAAATTGTAGATAGTATTTCACAAAATGGTACAGCAAGAATTCATTCAATAGAAAATTAATGATTAGAGTCAATGAATATTGACTACAAAATGTTAAATTCATTAATCCAATTGAGAAGTAGATTAACACCTAGAGTGAAGCGTATTGTGAGTTTTACGGAGTATCATATTCTGACCTTTAAAAGCCTCGCTTTTTCATACTTCTCTTTATCGCTTTGCCCTTTCAAGGAGCTGCTAGCAGCCAAAGAAACATATTTTAATTCTTTGGGATTAATAGGATCACTCCAATATGCTAACCATATCACTGTGTTATCATGCCTTATTTCCTTCCATCTTTCTCCAGGGATGGGGCATTCTGGGATCGGGGCACCTTTTCCTAAGTTTAGGGTAATATCACTTGGGTGTATCCGTCTTTTCAGTTTTCCCATCTTCGGGTGCTCTCCACGACCTCGGAACAGTCCAGGAGGTTCAACCCTGAAGTTTCCGACCTTTTCTTTAACCCCATCGACAATAGCCCACGTGTACTTCTCTTCTGCCTTCAATTTCTCTTCTTTTAAAGCCTTCTTCTCTTCTGTACTCATTTGCTTCTTCTTTTCCTTTTCTTTCTGATACCACTCATATATAGGTCTGAAATCACAATCCTCTAAACTCTGGATTACATGATTTCTTCCAAGTATTATCCTCCAGTCTTTCATGAAGTTCTCTTTGAATTTAGGGTTATTCATGTAATCTGTATCTAACATCACCGCGTACATTGTCGCAACCTGCAACAATACTTTAAACTTGAGAAAAATTACTAAACATAACACCATTCTTCCATAAGACTGCCGTTATTTGTTACTCCATATATTTTTTTAAATATTACATGCACTCTTATAAGATGAAACTTTAAGTACCTTTATTCTTGTATTATGACTACATAAATCCTAATATTCTTAATATAATATAATATAATATAATACTTCGTACTACTTTGTTCTTGTATTATGACATATTTGACATTCTTGGTCAATGATGTTAAACTTTGACATATTTTTCATATGAAAGTATTAATGATAGGAAGATGTCATTAATAAATAGTAATCATAATCTCATAAAAGCAAGACGTTTATGGTTTCTCTCAAAATATATTAATTAAAATCTAAAATATGATTGACCAAAAAGTCAAATATGGCAAACTTTCGTAGGATGTAATACATGTGCTCAACAATTAACATAATGTTAAATGATAAAGTGAAAAAGAAAAAAGTTGGTAAATCTAAGAAATTTTTAATATTTCGTGCCATGATATAAAGGAAGGCATATATAGGGGGTGTCTAGATATGCTTCTTCAAACTATTTCTGCTCCTTCAGGGAGCAAAAACAAATATTGGAATGTTTGGTTGACAGTGCAGAAGTACTTCTAAGTGTTCAAAATTGCTCCTAGAAGGAGTTTTTAAGAAATCGGGTTCTGAAAAACTGATTCTGATTATGCTTCAACTTTTAAAAAAGAAGCAGAAGCAGAATAAATTCTAAACACTCCCATATAGTAGTATTTTATTAGTGTCTTTGCAGAATTTCTATAAAAAATTTAGTGATTTGTTTGAAGATGTCCAAAATTAGATGAACACACACATAGAGACATATATAGAACAGATAGAGACATATATAGAGAGAGGATTCGAGACCTCCTCTTGCTCAGCTGTGAGATTTACAGGTTTTCCCTTATACAGCATCTTAACTCCATGTGGCTTGTATGGTGGTGGAAAAATTACACCATTGTGAACCAAAGTAGTCCATTTTTGTGCACCACCAGAGCTATGGGGAACCTTTGACGATTGAGTATCTTTCTTAGGGTTTTTTTTCGATTTATTACTCTTTCTTGTTTTACGTGAGGAAGAAGCAACTGCTGCACCATTGATTTTCTTTCTAGATGATGATTTACTGATGACAGGAACAGATGGTGTCTTCCTTACCCTGTGTGATATTGGAATGTCATCTTCCTCGTCCTCCTCCTCCTCCTCTTCTGCTTTTACTGCTGACTTTTTGGTTATCCTTCGTGATATAGGAATGTCATCTTCATCTTCCTCTTCCTCCTCCTCCTCCTCTTCTGTTTTCACTGATGACTTCTTGGTTATCCTGTGTGATATAGGAATGGCATCTTCCTCGTCATCTTCATCATCATCATCATCATCATCCACTGCTTTTATCGATGTTTGCTTAGAATTGACGGCCGCAGATGAATCGTCAAGCTTCGCCTTTTTAGCAAAACCCTGACCAGAAGATTCGACCTTAGAGGGGCATCTCTTACCTGGCAAGGTAGAAGAAGATGACAATTCACGTTGCTTATCCTTCTTGGATTCCGACGAATTCATGTTTTGACTACAGATCTGGAGAACGATTCACAATTGTGAATTTTCTCCTTTTGAAAACCTAACCGTACGTGCTTGAGAGCTTATTAGCTAGGGAAGTGGTCGATTAAACAAATTTTTTCCCTAACTTTTGGTTAGAATTGTAACCAAAAACCTCCTCCGGGCATTTGTTCAGTTTTTTTTTGTTAAAATCCGGTTGGAGATGGCATTTGTTTATTTTGTTACTCCTTAATAAATTAAGTTTTCTTTTTATTACAACAAGAAACTTACAAAAAGAATTATAGAAGGGCTTTTTACTTGAATATTATCAAATTAAAGTTAATTTTTTAAAAATGTGACCATTTTTTAAAACGGAAAAATGTGGTTAAGATCACGTATTTGAAAAAATATGATGTCATTATCATTTGAGAGAACTATCAAATAAGCACTCGAACTTTAATAAAAAGTGCAAATAAGTCATTTTACAGAAGACTTTGTCCGGTTATCCCCATTTGGGGTGGTTTCCGGTGGAATTTTTTGATGAATTTTTTTTGAGCATCTTCTTCATTAAGTCTAGTTTACCCATACCAAATTGCAGCTAAAAATTCAATCGAGAAGGCAGTCAAATGATTTTCTGAAATATATTAAGCTGTCTAACTGCGGAGTTATCTTCAAAAATTCATTCGACTGCCTTCCCGATTGAATTTTTAGCTGAAATTTGGTATGAATAAACTAGGTTTAATGAACAAGATACTCAAAAAAGTTCATCAAAAAATTCCACCGGAAACCGCCCTAAATGGTGACGGCCGGACAGAGCCTCCTATAAAAGGGCTTATTTGCACTTTTTATGAAAGTTTGAGGGCTTATTTGATAGTTCTCTCTTATCAATTTTTATGTCACTATCAGAATTTTATGTCACTATTACATGTCGCTATCAGATTTTTATGTCTCTTTTAAATGTCACTTTTACCGTGAAACATGTCACTACCACTGTTTAAGTTGATCTAGCTTATTTGAGACCGAAACAAAAACTTTACTCCTATTTAGAGTTTTTTTCTTTCATTCTTGTAAGAGGACTAAAGAAGTCCTCATGTGAAACTTTAAACGCGGAATATGTTTTACTTTTATTTTGAACATTTTTTAAAAACTGGTTATAAATATGGCCATTTAAACGAGAAATTTGAGTGTACTTAAACGAGGTATCCAAATTATAATTAATGGAGAGATTGAGCTAGAAAGTGGAGAATAAGATGAGTGAAGTGAAATGAATTTGTAGAGATTATCAACTAGGTTTACAAGACCTCACATTGAGAGTATTTATAGAGAAATAACGAACTGGGCCGCCAATATAGGCCCAATAGACCCAACTATGTGAAATGGCTAATCTAGTAGGTACAAATGATATATGAATTGTACAACAATGTAAATGATATCCGGTGAGCATGTGTGGGCTGTTGTCCACACATAATAGTAGTGAGACCCAGGGGTCTGAGACCATATACTCTATCAGGAGTCCCCCACTCCTAGAGTCGAGAGTACTCGAGACGAAAGGGCCAGTAGAGTTGTGTGTCGATCTATCGTCGTTCGGTGAATAAACTTCTGGCATCGTCAAGGCATCTCACCCAGATTCCCTAGCCTCTAATCTAATCTCATTGGCGAGCCCTGGCTATGACAACCCTGTGGGAGAATCCTCAACCGAAGGTCGTAGGCCAGAGACCCTCACAACCGGTCTTAGGGCTGAGGGGCAAGGTATGTGTACTTCCTGCTGTGGCAACTGCATCTACATATGATGTGATGTTGTCGTCGATGCATGTGGAAAACCTTGTGAAAATTTTGAATTTATGCTTCTTCGTATAATGGAGACGCCGAGTCCTCTGCTCTTCTAGTCCATCACTCCCTTAGGCAAGTGTAGTGAGGTAAAGAGGAGTAGAGTAATGCATGTCTAGTGATATCTTCAATGGGAGCCGAGGGTCGACACCTTTTGTCCATAATGGAGAGATGTCTCGGTAAAACCCTCATTGAGAAAAAATCATGTGGGAAAAAATCCTAATGACGGAAAAAGAGTACCTCAGATGCCCCCAAAATGAAGTAAAGGGGTAGGCCCTTCAGCTTAGACGTGGAGCTTCAACGATCACCATCTGCTGAGGGGATGGCCGAGACTGATCTTCGTAAGGTAGTAACTCGACATGATAAGTAGTTCTAGTCATCAAATATAGATAAACATGAAATATACGACCGAGGGGCCAATATGAACTCCAAGTCATCCAAACTTGGAGTTACTACCTTCATCAGGGTCTCTCTCATTGAAAGCACTAAATGATGGATAATAGGGGTATCCAAACCATAATTAATGGAGAGGTTGAGCTAAGAGTGGAGAAGAAGATGAAGTGTACTGAATGTGTGTAGATTATCAATTAGGTTTACAAGACCTCTCATAGGGAGTATTTATAGAGAAATAACGAGTTGGGCTGCTAATATGGGCCTGATAGGCCCAACAATGTAAAATGGCAAATCTAGTAGGTACAAATGATATATGAACTGTACAACAATGTAAATGATATTCGGTGAGCATGTGTGGGGCACTTTCCAGTTCCAATAGTTGTGAGACCCGGAGGTTCTAGACCGTATACTCTCTCACCACCAAATAAAATGGCCATACATTTTGAGATTCTCTGAGGAATAATATTTCACACATACGCTATAGTTAATAATATTAAACAGACTAAACCAGACCAGACCAGACTTAAACAGAGCAGACCAGACCAATTTAAACCAACAAATTTCAGCCTAAAAAAACATTCTTAATTCAATTTGATTAGCCTATAACCTTTAGTTTTTACATTGTTCGCACACAATGTTTTAATTGTATGATTGACACTATTTATAAATTATAAGTTTTGCTACTCTCCCCATCTCCCGGTCCATTGGATTTTACAAAATTTACTTTTTTTGTTTGTAACAAAAAATTTACCAGTTTCTTTTTCAAATCATTAATTAGTAATTTTGCTAAAAAAAAATCTCTGCACAACCCTTAATCACACAATTTTCATTTATCTTATTTCACATATAATTCTAACTTGACAATGTATAATGGAATAGATGTAATATCACATGTCACCTCAATTCACTACTAGAAAACTGTCTCACAGTGACACTTCGTTAGTGACACTATTCGATTTAGTGTCAGAAACTGACGACATAACTGAAAGTTTACACATAAGTATCACTAATTTCTGACACAATAACATCATCATTTAATAGTGACACTGAAAAAACAGGGTCATATTCATAATTTTTTAAAATATTTTTTTTGAAATGAGGTTTGTTTTATAAATTTTAATCCTAATCCTTCACATACTCTTCCCAGGAGCGCATCTCACTCTCAACATCTGATCCTTCATCTTCCCCTACGCTTCAGCTCTGGTCTCTCTTTTGTCAACGACTTCATTACCATCAAACTCTTCTCTTCAGCAGCTCGACTAGTCGCTGGGATAGCCCCTTCCTCCGCGCCGCCGACGATGACTTCTTGTTGCCCTTACCGCTGCCGACAACCTGGGGATGGAAAAGCCGAGGTAGTGAAGCTGCGACAGCAACCCGCTCTCCTCCTTTACCGCTTTACGTCTCTTTCCCTTTTCTCCATTTTCTTTATCTGTAAATCAATTGACCATCCAGGGAAGAGAAAGACAACGAGAAATCAGCTATGCTACAGGCGCGCGAGTGAAGCGCCGACAAAGTCACAACCTTCAATTCGCTAGTGAGCGCCACCACAGGTGATAATAGGCGCCGGCGAAGCCACCACCACCGTTCGCCCTCAATTTCAGTCAACCACCATCACATAGGTAATAAATCTTCTCGATTTGTGTTAATTTTTAGTTTTTTATCCTGATATTATGTACGGATTACCTAGTATAATTTATGCTACACAGTTGTGAGTGATATGCTTCATTATTGTGAATCTGTGACGTTCATGATTGTAGATATTCTCCATCTTCTGTAATTCACTTTCTTAACCACAAGGTGTTTGTTAAAATGTTACAAAGGATAAACTACTTACGAGAACGTGAACACTCCATTATTTCTAGTTTAATGATATATAATTTCATATTTTGAATGTCTTATTTGCTTGCTTTAAGAGAAGTGTTAAGTTATACCCCAAGTATATTATGTTCCTCCCCAAAAAGAAATTTTAAAAAATGATACCCTGAAGGATCGATCCCACAGTCGGGAGGCAGACTACCGATATTGTCCGCTTTGGGTTGCCCCTCACGGATTTAAAATGCATCAATAGTTGTGGAGAGTCTAGGCCTTATAAGGTACCAATGACTCTCCTAGCCCACCGGTGTGGGATTCTTTGGCATTCCTACCGAAGAGGCGGGTTTAAGAGTCGCGAGTTTGACCGGCTCGAGGGACTGAAAGGCCCATACCTAACAATCCCCCACACACACCGGTGCTGCCCCCTGGCTCTGATACTAATTAAAGGATCGATCCCACAGTCGGGAGGTAGACTACCGATATTGTCCGCTTTGGATTGCCTCTCACGGATTTAAAACGCGTCAATAGTGGTGGAGAGCTTAAGCTTTATAAGGTACCAAGGACTGTCCTAGCCCACCGATGTGGGATTCTTTGACATTCCTACCGAAGAGACGGGTTTAAGAGTCGCGGTTTGACCGGCTCGAGAGATCAAAAGGCCCATACCTAACGTACCCATTTTAACATCAGTAGTGCTACACACCAGAACTATGGAATTGAACAATTGTGTGGTTTCATTTGGTAATAGTTGATAAAATTTTGAGCTTTTAGTTCTGTTTCTAAAACTGAAAAACTCAATTGCTCCGTTATCCCCCTTCTATAAAAATGAGTGAAAATGAATCTGTTTCATTCGGAAGAACTGGCTTTTCAACTGAAAGGAGGTGGAACTGTGGAAGCTATACTAAGAGGCTGTTTACTTTTTTTTTCATTAAGTCCTGTATGAATTAAGACGTCTGTATGGATTAAGACATCTGTCTGGATTAAGTCACAGTGATATAACAAGCTGTTTACTTTGTGTGCTGAATGAACATGCTGAATTATATCAAATGACCAGTTTACCCTTCTATATGAAAAAAGTGTTGAATATATATTGTGTGTCTACAGTACAATTAAAATATACACTTTTGGAATATATGTTGTATATATAAATTAGT